GAGCGTAAATTTATCGTCATTTATCCATTTTGATATGAATTTGGGTAAATAAATGTATTCTAGATAGAAATCATTGAATTGACGATGCAAAAGCAAATTTATATGCAAGATTGATATAGGGTAACAAAAATTGTGCCAGAACTCCCATTTTGTCTCTACTATAGTGACCTACTAATATCTTCTGCATTTAGCCATACTAGATTTCTTTAAGAGGTCTACTTTTTCAAAAGGTGCAGTTATCTTACAGTTATGCATAATTTTTTTTAATATATACTAGAAATACGCATGTTGTACATGCTTGATTTACTTTACAACTAAAATTCCTTTCAAAATGAATTCACAAACTTTCAATATAAACAGACTACCAGCAGAACATTATTAGAAATCTCCAATATGATTATATTTTTCAAGAGGTGTGGTTATCTTACAGTTATACACCTTCTTTGCAAATAAGAAATCTAGTGAAAGCTTTTACAAAAGAATCAACAATCTTGGATTTGGGGCAAGCAGAGGGTCTAATATCTATGAGAATTTGAATAATTTTAAAGGTACCATAAAATCTGAACACATGTACTCTGGGTATTTTCATTACTCAATTTAGTACTCAGGATACCTCTATATGGGGGTATGCTGTATTGAGACAATATGTTTTACTATATCTACCTGGGTGATAAATATAGTATATATAATACCTATATAAGTCATGAACTGGCACTTCAAACTGGCAAGAGGTACACCGCATGGGGGGTATATGTGTCTGGATTTTATGGTATTTAAAATGTTTGGTTTACAATTAAAGACAGTGACAGCCCTAAAATCAGCAAGTCTGTCACTTGAGTGAAGGTTCTTTGTATAATCAAAAGTTAGGCTAAGTTGGGTCGAAAAAGTCATGTTATATTTGGCGAGTGGTTAAGCAGAGTTTTAAGATGGTTTAGAGAAAAAATAGTCTTAGTAGCAAATGTATAGGTTTTATTATGTATTATATTTTGGGTCAGAATTGTGTATTTGTATTAAAGATACTTTTATAAGAATTTATTTAATAAAGCAAAGGTGGAATCAACTCTTTTTAAAAAAATAAATGAGACTTAAAATTATAGAATTTTTGAATAATGCTTTAAAGTTATATGGATGTTCTATAGAATAGGTGGGCAATATAAAAAATAAACTCCACTGATGATTAATAATCATTAATAGATATTTAGCGGAGTTGCGGAGTTTGCCCACCTATTCTATAGAACATCCATGGGGGATACTTTTCCCAAGGCCTTTATTTTACAATAACCATTTTATCTACAAAAACTACCTGTACTGCCATTACCGTCTATAATCCCAAAATGCCCTTACTGACAGAAACGCCCTAATCCCAAAATCGCCGTTTCCGTCATTTATGTCATTTCTTCCAGAAACGGTCTTTCACCGAATAATTAATTGTGAGGACAATTAATTGCAATTTTTGGAACTCAACTAATTTATTGGTGGCGCAGTCACAATTTCTTATTATATACTGTAAATGTGCTATTAAAAAATCAGGTCACACCGGGTACTGTATGCAGCGCTCTATGCGCAGTATATATGAAATTTAATTACAAATTGAAATTGGTTTTTAAAGCTAAGTACGTACATAGGTACGTACGCCAATTTTTAATTGACAAAATTTTGAAAGTGACGTCTAACATATACAGTACATATTGATATATTATATTATATTATACTATAGCAAATCAAATAATCGGATAAATTAGCATGTAACGAAAAAAATTTAAAAAATGTACGTAATACAAGAAGTACGATGATATCATATTTTAACGTTACAACATTCCTAGAGAAACCAAGATTCAATCGTAAAACTTAAGTCTAAACATATCTTGAGATATTAATAAAAAAGTGTCATAGTGCTTGCTATAATCTTAACACTGAGTATTTAAAAAATTATACTGTTATATGGCTTTAGCCATCCCCTAAACATGGCAAAAAAAAAAATTATTATGAAAATAAAAAAAGACAATGACCTCACCTTTCGCCAGTTTCGATATCTTTCGTCAGTTTCGACACAAAAACCTTGCTATGTTACCCAAACCATTTACGATTGGTCAATCAACATATGATCGAGCAGACCTTTCATTTGTAATTATGTAATAATCTTTCCATATATATCGATAAATAATTAAATATGGTAAATCGCGGATACCTTCAAATATATAAATACTTCTTCATTCGAAGTATAATAATAAAAGCAGAAATGTCATCTTCACAGAAAGTTCAATATTTAATTGACTTCATTAAAAAGCATAGTAAGCTCAAAAATGTTGATGCGACACGTCAAAAATTAGAAAAGATATTGAACGATGGTCTTGAAAACTTACAAATTGTTTGTGGTATACCTTCAATTTTTTATTTTTTTTTTTAAAAAAAAAGGATGCCATTTTATTTTTGGGGAATTTACATATGGGCCAAAAAATGAAAATAATTACAAATAAGAGCCCAAAGTGAAAATAATTACATATAAGGGTCAAAATAATTTTGCGTTATGATGATAGTGGTCTTCGACGCTATAACTGCATATATGTATTGTTTTATACATTTTATACTTTACCTTTCGCCTAATGAACTTTCTTTTAACCAAGAAACAATTCGACTAGGTTAAATACTATTTATATTGATATTGTAATTTTTTATTCTGTTCTAAACTAATATATTTATCCTATCTCTATACCAAACTAGTGAATCAATATTTGTGAAGGATATTATGCATTAATCGAAGAAATTTAGAACCGAAGAAGCTCATTTTTTATTGTAGAGAAAGCTAAATCATTTTTAAAAATCGACAAAAGTGGTTATAATTTTTACATGAAAGGCGCTAAGAGAATAAATTTAATGCTGATTAAAAAGTAATACGTTTAAATGTCAAAAAAGACAATTACATTTATATAATCTTATATGCTAAAAATTTACAATACTATTATAATTATTTTCATTTTCGGGCCCTTATATGTAAATTCCCCTTTATTTTTTTATTTTTTGTTCCTGACAAACCTTTCAATTTTTAAAAAGATTTCGATTATACAATGACACGTTTCTTTGCTCCGAATCGTGAACGAAATCCAGGTTCACATAAAATATTGTCTTCAAGTTCTCGCTTGACCGAAGAAGTTTGTATGCTTAAAAACAATCGAGTATTGAATTTGAATTTAATTTTAAATTTGTTAACAAACTATATACATATATTTTTTATTAAAGTTTAAGAAGGAGTCGGATAAATTATGTGAAAATTATTATCCAATAGAAATAGATAAGGTATTGACAAAAGAAGAAAAAATACCTTTCATGATCGAATGGTGGGGAAAGGCTCATGAACTTTTAATAGGTCAAAATATCAATAAGAAAGACGTAAAAGGCATGGTAGCAGAGACTCCAACAGAATTGAGACCAGGATTGGATGTTTTAATTAGAAAGTGCAAAGATAACGATATACCATTCTTGATATTTTCAGCTGGAATTGCTAGTAATTACTTTTTTTTTTCAGATTGTTTATGTTAAATAATATTTTGGACCTGATATTTCCACACCCCCATGCAAATTACTCTTTTTTAAAACTTTGATTGAAGACATTTTGACAACTATTAAAACAATTAAAACAAATTCGATGAATTTTTTTTTTTTTTTATTTGAATTCTACGGATCGTAGAACTCAAATAAAAAAAAAAATTCATCAAATTTGGTTATATTGTTGTCGAGATACCTTCGATTAAAGTTTTAAAATGGAAATATCAGGTCCCTAATATTTATAAAAGCTTACCATTCTTGTTATCATATATCATAAGATGTCATTGAAGAAGTTCTTACCACGAGAAACCTTTATCATCCTAATAATATGCATATCATATCTAATCAGATGGGATTTAATTCAAAAACCGGAATATGTGATCATTTTAAAGTACCTCTGATTCACGTATTCAACAAAAATGAGATTATAATCAAGAACAGTCCTTATTACAATACTATCAAGAATCGCGGGAACGTTATTTTACTGGGGGATTCTATTGGTGACATCCATATGGCGGACGGAATTCAACACAATATTTGTTTAACCGTTGGCTTTTTAAATCATGATGTTGAGGATTATATAAATACTTATTTAGAAACGTTCGATGTTGTTGTAGTTGATGATGGACCAATGGATATAGTAAATCATATTCTGGATGCTTGTTCTAAAGATTCTAAAATTAGTAATCAGTAACTAATAATCCTTATGAATTTAAATTACTTCTTCGTGGATAAGGATGGTTTACTAAAACACATTTTGGAATTTTGTAATAAGAATAATAGTCGTGAAAGTTAAAGGAACTGATGAAATATAAAAATTATTTTAGAATGTGCAATGATTGTTTTTTATTTTCATTCAATAATAATACGATCCAAAATCCTATTTTAAGTCGTGTAAAAAGAGCAATTTGTAATACTAGTAGCTATGGACCATGTTTTGGTGGCAGACCTTTTATCAATACTGTTCAAGACGTTAATTACTTATACGTATAAGTTTAATTTTTAATGCAACTATCTTGTAATCTTATTTTCATTTTCAATTATTAAATTTGATACACGAAAAGCAATATAATATCTTTAATGACATGGTTTACAAGCATATGATATTTTGACCTTATTCACAGGGTCCGGTGTTGTGTTCTTACAATAAATTCCAAAGAGAGAAACGATACGTAATACAGTATTACTTCGAACGTAAAAAAAAACCGATGATTGATATATGATTACCTATCTGATCGAAAAACAACTTTCAAGATAACCGAAACTAGAAAGAATTGGTGATAATTATTGACCAAATCAATTACAGCTATTTTCATTATTCCTAAAAATTGTCGATAATCGGAAAATACATCAGAATCGATCTAAATTACAAGAATCCTATAACTCATTTTTGGATTGAGTTATTTTCCATACCCATATACTATGCGGTCGATTATCCTTGTGGTTAGAATATCGAGCAAGATTTTATCAAATTCCCAAAATTTACAAAGTTGGTCGACATCGGGAAACTTATCAATTCTGTTTTTTAGCTGTCCCAAGTAGAGATTCGACCCTGCATAAATTTAAGCTCCGGGTTACCCACCAGCATATAAATATTTTACAAAATCGAGTTGTTAAAAAAATACTCAGTTTATTCAGTTAATCCTATATACTAATAATCCAGCGAGTAACCAGCCGCTTAGCCGGTTGATAGTTTCATTAATCGGCCAATTTATTTCTCTTATAATAAAATTATAGTCCGTTGCATTCTTAAATTATTTCGAATTGCCGTTTTAAAAAATTTGAGCACATGACTATGGTAGAAGATCTCATGTCTTGACCAGAACAAATTTATTATCGTTCTTTTAATTTTCTGCTAATTCACGATTTACGGTAGTCAGCAAATACAGTATAAGGACTATTGCTTGTTCTTTATTTTAAATTTTGATTTATATCGCATGTGACAAATCGAAATGGAGTCATCTGATCTCAGATTTGATGTTATATTATATATATCAATTTTTTTCTCTGTTCTTTTTCTTATTGTTCTTCTTTTCCGCCCATTATTTTATTCGTTATACCGTCCACTTCTACAGTACATAGGTTTGGAGAAGTTAAGTTGTTACGGTGATTTCAGTCTAACCGGATGAATTACTGTTCAGTCATCCTATGTGGTTGCTCTTTCAACTTCAACAGCTCATTCAACTTCAGCGTCACGTTTTCTCGCGTCTTCGAAGTTGATTTTAATTTTTTATGTTACAGCTATATAGCTGATAGGTACTGTATTTTTTTTTTTTATCTCTGCTTATATGTGGGTTGTTTTATTTTATGTTTAGATGTTTAATTTCATTTATTATAGTGATACGATGATTCAAAGAAAAAAAAATTAAAGAGAAAGAAAAATGATAGAAAAATTAAAAGAAGAAATAAGAAGGTTTTAAGGGTTGTTAGAGGAGAAAAAAAATTAAAAGGGGTATAATATTTTAATGTGAAATATGAATTTATTAACAGGAAGAATAGATAGAGAAATTATTTGGCTTTAGAATAGCAAAGAACCAATCTACCCTCGAAAAACTATTTACAGTTAATTATAATTTGAGTAACATACGTGCAATTAGGTCCAACTTGGTCAAATGCTATGAAAAATGTGTTGAGAATTATTATCAATAAGTTTATATTTTCATTCAACATAATTTTTATTATACTGTATGTTTGTAATTAATATAATTAAATTTCTTATATGCATTATATCGTAGTACCAGAAAGAAAAAAAAAACAAAAAAACAAATATATATATATTCGGTACATATATAGAGCAATATTAGCTAGGTTTTCTTGTCTAACCCTTTTTTTGTTTCGTTGTTTTCAAAAAGTGGAAGTTACTATATGAACTAATATAAACAACGTCATGACCAACGCTAAGAAGTTTATACGAAAGAAAAGTGCGACGAGCCCAGGGCCGATGATTTTCTGCGGTGATAAATTGCCAATTCCGTCCGTGACGAAATCAAATTCTGCAAAAATTCCGTGCATTAAAATTTATGAACTCTGCGTAAATTCTGCGTTGTTATTTATGAATTCTGTGTTGGTTATAATAGAACCTTCGAATGTTCTGCGATAATATTCTTCGGATAATTTCGGATATCGAGCAAAATTTTTTAACTCGAACGTATTTTAGGTTCATTTATTTTCCACATCGGAAATTTTCGGAAGCTATATATTTTAGCTTTTTAGCATCATAGATATAGAGACCCTACTTTCTGCAACAATTCCGTGCTATCCTTGATGCATTCCGTGTTTAGGACCTAACTCCGTGATTTCTGCGGCATTCCGTGAAACGCAGTAAATCATCGGCCCTGGACGAGCCCTAGTTGGAATGGGTCAAAATAGTTATGAATTACCACTGATTCGCTATAAGACGCCAAAAAATGCATCCTAATTTATCATTTCGAGATCTTTTAAAAGATCGGGAAATAAATTAATTAAAAAATAATCGAATATACTTTTCTTTATGAAAATCCCTTTTTCTGTAGTTTTAAATCCTTTGGGTCACATGATGCAAACCTGTGATCTGGACATTGAGTGATTTGTTCGATGACTAATGTGTGTCACTAACAATATAAACTTTATTGCTTGTAATTTTTTAAAGCTTCGAGTTCGAGTTATTGTAATGTATGTAATGTAACAATATTTATTGAAACAATTAATAAAGATAAAAGTTATACTTTTTGGCAAAAAAATTATAATTATAGAATATCGTTCAAATAAATTTTTGTTTGATCTATTAGCAAAAAATATATTACTGATTTAGTTTACGTTAGTATTACAAGATTCAAATTCTAAAAAAAAATAAAAAATTTGATATGCTTCCTTATATATTGTTCCAAAGGCGTTGCATTGGAAAATACAGATTATTTAAATATTGATTATATAAACAAACTGAATAACGAAAATTAGTAAAAAAAAACAACGGACTAACTAGTTATACAAAAAATTAATGAGGTAATAATTTTGGTTTTATAGTTTTATTTTAAAGTTTCATCTTCAAATAATTTCAAAGTATTTAATGTATTCGCGTTACAAAACCTTTAAATCCGTAGCAATACAGCAATACGATCGTATCTGTTTATTATTAGTCATCAAATGTACTATTACCGTCAAGAAAAAAATTTTTTTTGAGCTAGCTGGATAGACATAATTTAACTTCGACGTTACGATGGAAGGATATATTTGAATTTTGATAGCAGATAATTTTAATCTCTCACAACTAGAATTGTTGCTTTCAATTATTATTGTGAGGGACGAACAGCTAGGGTGTTCAATAAACTAATTAATCAAAACATAGTTAGGGTCATTAAGTTCGGATTTTTTAAAGGGTTATTTCA